AAATAGTTCTCAAGGTTTTTATCTTTTGTCTTAATCTGGTTCAAAACAGGTCAAAAAGCCAGACCACGTTATTGTATAAATCCATTGCCTTTTCAAAAGCTTGGAGCCTGTTCTGTACTGAAGTTTTACAAGTATTTACAGTATGTTTTGAGTTTTTGTGGCTCCGTGACAAGGCCAAACATGCTTTTAAATGATGCAAGGTTACTGATATAAAGTCAAATAACTGAACCGGCCTGGGTGAATAGACCAGACTTGAACTAAAGTTGATTATGTAAGCTTTTATTATTGAAATGCATAATAGCAAATTCATCTGCCTAATCATTTCAAGTTAAAGTAATTAAACAAAAGCGGTCCTGGAATACAGTAAAGTAGTTGGTAGCTTACAAAAAAGCATTCTGAAGCTGACTAACTCTGAATCCGAAATGTCCTCTTCCAACCATAACAATAATGAGCTGCTAATAAACCACTTTGTTAAGGTCAGAAAAACAGTTCCAATGCGAAATGGTGCCTTGAGCAACAGCACAACCAAAATTAGCCCATTGACTTAGCGTCTGGTATGACAATGGCCTCACTGTACTCTGTAATCGTAGCTGTAGGGTTCCTGGAAGATAAAATGTAGATAAAGTCTCTTAAATGCCTGCTCTAACATGCTTTGGTGTTAAAGGGCCCATATTCCGTCATTTTCTGACCTAGTTCTAATGTTTCCTTCTCAAAACCTTACCTGAAGTGGTGTTTTGTTTCATTCACACATGTTTAACACATAAATACAACATATTTAGAGTGAGTTTTTCTGTCAAACTGAATAAACTCTGGTCCACCTTGTGATGTAACGTGGTAATACTGGAAGTCCCCCCTGTGTTTTTAAACTTCATACACCTTTACAAGAAGATAATTTCAGACCTGGAATTGTCTTTAGATCTGGAACTGTCAGTCTCTGCACGTTTACTAGATTAATTTTGATGATTTCAGACCTGGAATTGTCAGTCTATACACCTTTACTAGATGAATTTAGATGATTTTATGATTTCAGACCTGAAATTGTTAGTCTCTACGCCTTTACTAGAATCATTTTGATGATTTCAGACCTGGAATTGTCAGTCTGTGCACATTTACTACAATAATTTTGATGATTTTAGACCTGGAATTGTCAGTCTGTACACCTTTACTAGATAAATTTTGATGATTTTATTATTTCAGACCTGAAATTGTCAGTCTCTACACCTTTACTAGAATAATTTGGATGATTTTAGACCTCGAATTGTCAGTCTCTGCACGTTTACTAGAATAATTTTGATGATTTCAGACCTGGAATTGTCCTCAGACCTGGAACTGTCAGTCTCTGCACTTTTACTAGAATAATTTTGATGATTTTAGACCTGGAATTGTCAGTCTCTACACCTTTACAAGAATAATTTTCATGATTTCAGACCTGGAATTGTTAGTTTCTACTGAGCTAAAGAAGAGAAAACAGGATTACTGATACATGTGTGAATAAAACAAAACACAACTGTATGTTTTTGAGGAGGTAACAGCCTTATAACACTTCTAAAAGCTCACAAGAGTCAATTTTGTGCAATATAGACCCTTTAAAACTAAGATAGACCGAGCTGACATTTTCCGAGATGCGTATCCATGTCTTTTTCTTTTACTTACAATACAATTTCTTGAAGCGCTTCGTACAAATGGCTTGATTAGATTGTCTCTAATGGAACAAGCCGGGGCAGACAAACGAGACTTGTCATGCCCGCGTCGTAATATTTTTTCACTTATGACCGGAGGTAAGCTGCTGTGACAAAGACTTAATGGAGTTGAATGGGAGCGGACTGAGTGGAGAGGCTGCTTTGGGGGGCACGCGTACAGCGTCACTTGCAGAGTTTGATGTTAACTTGTTTGGCTGGCGGGCTGCGTTGTCATAGCGATGTTAGGGAGAGCGGGGGGCAGGCTGTCGCTTTTCTGCACGTCAAAACTTCACTCGAGGCCGGAGGACACAGGTAGTGAACGTGAAAGTAGCAGAAGATTTGTGCAGTTGTCGTCATGGGGTTTGATAGGAGTTCGAGGTGAATTTCAATGTGAGATGATGTGCAACCGCAGGTGTCGTGTGTTTAAAGACTTGGAACAAAAACAGTTGTAGACAGTGGTGCTTTTCCCAAGTAGAGATGTCAACATGTCAGATCTTAGTGATATACTGTATATTTTAAAATTTTACCAGCACAGTTATGAACAAAACAGTTTTATTTATTCACTTGAACCCAGGGTTGCGCAATTACAAAAATTTTAATTAAGAATCAGACTTTGGAGGAAGACATTTTTTGTGTCAAATGGTAATGACTAAAAATCTTTTGTTTATATTCAAGGAACTGATGAAGGCTATTTGGATTTGTTTTTAATAAGACGAAATACAAATTTAATTTAATATCATGATTGATTAAAATGAGGGCATCGTTTTAAGGTGTCAGTCTTCAGATACTTACAAACATCCTGCTTCTGTTTTGATTGTTCGGTGTACTTTCTTTTGTACATAGAGTTGCTTTTTTTCCCACTAATTTACAAATCTAGGTGTGGCGATGATAAAATCAGAGAGATGTGTATCTTAGGATCCTGTATTGTATAGTATGAATGCTGTTTGTGTGTTGTGTGAATGTTGTCTTTGTGTTTATGTTTGTGTTTTGTTCTGTTTTGATTTGTTTTTTCTTTTTTTTTTTTCTGTAAACACTATTTTTGTTAATTTATTTAGGACCCCCTCGCAAACGAGATGCTACATCTCAAGGGGCTTCCCTTACAAAAATAAATAAATAAATAAAAAATATTAGAATTTTTCTCATGTTGCTCAGTCCTATTTTAACCATGTTAAAATTGTTATTTGAAATTCACAGTATAAAATGTGTTAATTCTGACATCCGTACTTTTTGTTTGTATTAAATTGTGTTTTACTAGCATGACATTTTTTGGTGTAGTGGACTGATGAGTGAAGAGTGTGTGATGTTCTGGAGTGAATGAACTGAATGATGCAAAGCTTTGGGGGCAGGAGTGCTACGTAGATATACAAAAAATGTGCAGAATTGTCCTTTTGGTGCTCTTCAGTGTAGGGACCAGTCTCAAATACAAAGTAGGAAAAAACTGAGGCACTCAAAAAGTGCAAAATAATTAAAAGCCTTTAATACCACATGGCAGATAAAGTTAAAACCACGCCAACGCATTTCGGCTCTTCGACCTTCACCGGGGCAAACAGACTTTTGATAAGGATGATGTTTTTAAGATGCTGAGAGAGCTGAGTGTGAAAGATGATACAGAATTGTTACGATTCTCTTTTTATTATAAAGACATTCTATTTGTATGTTTGATTTTATGAACTATAACATCAACCTGCTCAGGGACAAAAGGTGGAAATTAACCTGATATAAAGCATCTCTCCTGTTACGGTTAAAGTATATTGTGCACTGTCCCTGTCTCATGAAATAAATAATCTAAACTAGTATGAAACTGCATGTACTTTCTTATAAGCTCTATCATATTTTGCAAAACTATCAAAACCGTTCTACTTTTATCGTCTATCTTTGTTTAGGTCTAGGCTTTTAACATCTAAAGAGCAGCTCATGCAAAGCAATATCCATAATCGCATTTACTTTTACTTCATAATTGACTTCTGCACTTTCAGACTCCAACAACAAAAGACGCACAGAGGACAACCATTAGCTCGCAGAGACATGAATCAGACGGCGCTGTGGCTTTTCTTAGCTTTATCTCTACTGGCCATTTTATTAACACACCGCCAGCTCTATGAATCAGATAGCTACCAGTAAACAGCGTGCCACCGCCGCTATCCCGCTATCAGCAAACCAGCTACATATCACCGCCACTTGATTGGTTCAAATGGCCAGAAGGGACAGGCGGCGTCTTTCTCAATTAAGACCATGTCCCTGCTTAGGTGCGTCCGGGCGATTGAAAGGGAGGGGTCAGAGCATCGGCGCGTCCGTCTTGGGGCGGTCTACGTGGGCTCAGATGGGGCGCCAGAGGGGGGTACTTGAGTCAGAGGTGGTCCACTAGCCTTGAGTGATGTTGGATTCCCGGCGGTTTCGCTAATGAGCCAAGACATCCCATGCAAAAGAGAAATAAGTAAGCGGGGAGCAATCAACAAGGATAAATATAGAGATGAAATGTGTTTTAGATCGGTGAGTCTCGAGCGGTGGGGAGCGGTTGGTTAATTTTAGTTTAATTTTTGGTTATGTCTTGGTTTGGACTAGGCTTCTCAGAAGTATTGGAAATCAGATATTAAGTGATACTACACAGATATAAAACAGAAAGTACTAGGGATGTAACAATAAACAAAATATCGTCAAAAGTCATCACAATATATCAAATTACTAATTTCTTGGCTTAAATGCATGGTTTTATAGCAGCAACATCTTAAAAACATAGTGAACTACATATCCCATGATTCATTCGTCGGTGCAGACAAATCATTGTACTTATTTAGTATCGAAATCAAGTTTAAAATTTTAGTATCATGTAGGGCTAGGTATCGTTAAGAAGTTGCCGATATGATACATACCTCGATACATAGGCTTCTATACGATACCTTTTTCGATTCAATATGATTTGATACGATATATTTCAAATCAATTCGATACTATTCAGTGAAAAACAAAAGCTAAATCATGGCTGTGATATTAAAAGTCCACTAAATCCACTGAGATTGTGCAGAGTTAATACGAAAAAAACACAAGTTTACTCATTAAAACAGTGAAAATGTGAACACAACTGTAGCTCTTACACAAAATAATTGAGTAAAATATACCTAAAAATACTGTATCATCAAATTAAACTGTACAATATATATCGATATTTCAATATTTTTGCACACTCCTAGTGGTTTTGTCCTTTCCATTGATTTTCTGAAAGACAAATATTGTTCTGAGGTGGTACAAAAGTGTGATAGTGCGTCCTCAGATAATGTGGTTATAAAAGGTTAACGTCGTTTTGTGCTGTTGTTTGTTTTGCAGGAAGCTGCACGTTCGACGAAGGCTTCTCTCAGTGCGATTACCAGCAGGATCACAATGACGACTTTGACTGGACCCACATCAACACACAGGAAGTGCCATATGTGTCCCCTGACCTGCCACAAGGTGAGACTCCACTCTTCACTTCCCGTGTATTTTTTAGATGATACTTCCTTAATTACAACACAATAGCGTCAATACTAAATTACCTTAATACAATACTTAATTACCTTTTTTTTTAATTAAAGACAGAAGAATATAACATTTAACAAAATACAATAATCAGCATAAAAAAATAAATAATAAAAAAAACAAAACACAAAAACATAGAGCAAAACCCACAACAAATACAATACAACAAAAACTGCCCAACCCCAAACACACATGCCAACACAAGTTTAATTAAATAAAACAAAAGTAATGTGGTAGTGTAGCATAACCATTTTGGCCAATTCCTATTTTTTAACCCATTTTTTATAAACATTTTTTGTCAATTAACTAATATTATTTTCTCCACCATCATCATTTCCTTTCCTCATCTTTTACTATTTATTATAATCTTAAAGCATAATTTAATTTAATTTATTTATTTTTCCAGTAGCAGACTTGTTTGCTTTGCTTGTTTGCGGTTATGTTCTTCAAGGTATTTCTGAGCAATAAAAACGCACAGTTAAATAAATACTATAGTTGCATATGTGTAATGCCATACTGTGGAACTTTCCAGACTAAGCAATAACATGTCCAAGGAAACAGGTAGTGAACATAGTGCACCTTTCACTTCATTTCTTGGATTAAATTAACTTTTTATCTGGGATAATGTACATTTTGTCTGGTACATTTCCTATTTTTAATTAATTAGCCTCGGTAGAAACTGTTAGAATATAATTGGGTATTTCAACGAAGCCAACGACACTGGAGTTATAATGTTGTTTCCTCATCAACAACATACAAGGAGTTGTGTTTTGTTTCATTCACACATGTTTGAGTAACACTTTATTATTAGTCTCGCTACATCTCCAAAGCTCAAAATGCTCTGTTCTACCTTGTGATGTCATGTAGTGGTAGTTTTCAAGTTAACTACCTTTTATCTTTAGTTGAGAAGAGATTAGCAACTCCATGACATCACAATTGTTTTCTGCCTGAGGGTACGTTTACACGGAAATGAATCACCGCGTCACCGTATCGGAAACAGTCTGCGTCCAGACACGTCGTTTCTGTGTCCACAAGCCTTCCCTATCCACACAGCTTTGCGCGTATTTGTTTACGTCTTACAGAAACTAAACTTAAAACTGCATTTCTGATTTTTATAACCTAAGCGCTCACAAAAAACAGCTCGCTTGTTGTGCTTCTGTCAGACTAAAGGACACAACTCAGTGGATTATATGTGTTCTTTCTGTGACAGAGGGGTGTGCAAGTAGTTCTAGCTACGCTGTTTCCCGTTTGTATGTGGTTTGTTTAAACCGATGTCACAAACCCAGCGAATCAGGACGGCGCAAGTCACAGTGACGTGATCCAATAAGGACGCAGCTAGAGCTCCTATGTCAGTGTATCAATGTTTCACACAGTTCAATTCGATGGAGTTGGCGGCACCAGATCGTTCCGTCTCTGAAGCTGTTTTCCATCGGATTATTGTGGACGAACACAGTATCCACAATGAAAACGACTCGAATATGTACTAGTGTGGATGAGGCCTGAGAGAAAAATTGAAGGCTAAATATGTTGGGTTTATGTGAATGATACAAAACATAACTCCAGGTTTGTTTGTGATGAAGAAACACCATTCTAACAGAGAGATCAGAAAATATGGACCCTTTAAAGTCAAATACATGTGTAATATCAACTACACACTCAGATAAACACATACTACTTTTATAAACAACTTTGTAACCACTTACCCATCCTCCAGCGATTCCCTTAAACTTAATGTAGTTTTCGCACACACGCTCCATCCCTGTGTCCTCCTGTCCCCCATCTTTACAGAGACCTCTACTCTTTAATCAGTTGTGTTTTTTCTTCGCCGGCGATGATGATGAAGGGGGAATTAAATCTTTGTGCCGCGGGCTCAGGGTCTAATTAACAGAATATGAGGTCATTAATCAACAGCCGGGAACAGGGAAGGTTGCATATACTTTACAATGTTAAAAGCAAAATGTTATAACAGTGACCAGCTAGGTTGAAATGATTCAGAATTTACAAAATGGAAACTGCACAAGAGGAATGTTGATTAGGTAAAAGATTTAAAAGAAACAACCCAAAAAATGTACAGTAAGCTCGTCCTCCAGCAAGGTACTCCTGACTGTGAATACAAATCTATAGAAAGGCCCCGAGCACTGCACTGTGATCACCCACTGCCCCTGAAAATTTGACTTTGGATGGATGAAATTTTCTTTAGGGAAGAATAACCATAACCTTAAAGTGGTCACTGCAATTTCAAGTACTACATGACATCATATATGACTGCCCTGATTACAGATAGGTGTTTCTGATCACAGACACCTGATTGAAGGAGCGGAGTTTGAAGTGTGGATATCTTTTAGACTAGGGGTTTTCAAAGTCTGTGCTCAGCATGGTTTAGTCCTGGTTTAGTCTTGGTTAAATCCTGGTTTTGATCTGGTTTAGACCTGGTTTCAGTCCTGATTTTAATCCTGGTTTAGTCCTTTTTTAGACTTAGTTTAGACCTGATTTAGACCTGGTATAGACTTGGTTTTAGTCCCGATTTTGGTTCTGGTTTAATACTGGTTTAGTCCTGGTTTAGTCATGGTTTTAGTTCTGGTTTAATCCTGGTTTTAATCCTCATTGTAGTCCTGGTTTAATTCTGGTTTAGTCCTGGTTTAGGTCTGGTTTAGTTTTGGTTCAGTCCTGGTTTCAGTCCTGGTTTAGACCTAATTTAGACCTTGTTTAGTCCTGGTTTAGTCCTGGTTCAGTCCATATGCAGTGTAAAAGTCCAGCGTTGTAGTTTAAGTCACAGAAATGGGAAATGGCCATTGTTTTGCCCATTATTCATTTAAACACAAAATCGAAAAACTGAAAAAACAAATTGTTATCTGTTTTTTCATTTTGATTTTGGAGACAAATAATGAAGAAAATGGTTGTTTTTTCGTTTTTTTATTTTTGGTCTTATTTTGAAAAACGAATGAATGAATGATACATGGAAAACAGCTTCGCGAGAGCAGAAATCAACTTCGAGAGTTAATATTTACGCGTGTGAAATAATACAGTACGCCTGAATGCATGTTTTATCGAGCGTGTGTATTATGGAACTCTTTTGACGCCTTAGACACCTGATTGGAGGAATTTGAAGTGTGGAAATATTTTAGACCAATCACGTCGTTTTGTTTCCCTTTAGATCCCGCCCCTCCTTTCCCTTCTCTCTCCCCTTTAGTCCTCAAGGTACTCTGAGTTTGCAGTTCTGTTTTAAAAATGATTGTGGGAGGAGTTTAGGTGTTTAGCCCTACTTTAACTGTAGAAAACTGCATTGATACGATATTTTTTTCTAAGAAGGTCATGAAATGGTCAACTAATTATACTTTTTTGATCATAAACATACCTCAATATAAATTTTTAATGAATGTTTGCAATTGCAAGACGCACCATAAGAAGTTAGCAAAGGATAAAACTACTTCACGAACTTTATTGCGAGACAGATTCAGTTCATCCACGTAAATTTGTTGCCAGCTGCTTTCCCCTATGCACACAGAACTCCACGGCAGCATAATTTAACTGTTTATTGTTGGCAGTAATAATTATGACAGTCCAGTCGTGTTGACATTTAGAGAAAGGTCCGGTTCACCACCAGCTCATAATGATATTTTCCCACACACACACCGCCTCATATGTGGGCAAGCTCTCTGGTCCGCTTGGTATTTCCACAAAGGTGAGATGCCTTGCCCAACGGCACCTGCCCAGACCTTAGCATTTACCAGTGTTAATAGCAGTTCAGAATGCCGTCACTGTGCAGAGTCAGTGTAGGTTAAATACTTGTGGACGGCGTTGCTAGTTTAATGGTTCGCCTGTCGCTGAAGGGGGCGCGTGGCCTGGAGGTATGGCAGCCCAAGAGTGACATTTGATGTGTTAATAATGTCAGCAGGGTGTGGGACAGTGTGGCGGCCAATGGCAACAGCCCTCGGGGAATTAGAGATAAGGCGAGTATTTGTAGTACGAGGCGGGGAAATTGGTTTGTAGCTGAGGGATAAATTGGTAATAGGGATGTAACAATATGCAAATCTCACAGTAGGGAATTATAATGATTTTACAGTCATGTTATTTGTGATCTTGGTGATAAAATGCCTCTGACTCTCAAAAATCCCAGTATGAACCGTAAGTAATTGTTTATTTTAAAAAGATTAACATTTCATGCTGTAAGAGTTAAAAAGAAACCATTAAAATTCATCTACATCCCTAACCCAACTGGTACATCCCATTCCAATTCCCAAGTTTCATTACAACTTTGAAGTTACCTAGTTCCTCATTTGGCCAGATGGAGTCGCCTCGAGGGCACGGGACAGATTTAAAGCTAACCTTTCTTTGACTTTTGACCCCCGGAGCTAAAGGGACGGCCACTTCTAACCAGGGGAGTTGTTAAAAGCATTTGGCAGAGCGCTGTGCCGTGGGAGCAGGTCTATTTAGCTGATTAGTAGTGCTGGGGTTTGTACTGTTAAGGGAATTGACACATAAGGAAAATGGACGTCCTAGTAGAGCCGTGTGTGGACGTTAGTCATTTAGTCAGTGATCTGGTTGATGATGTCTTAGTTGACCAAAATTTGTCTAAGTTGACTAATCATTTTATTTAGATCAGTGGTTTTCCATAGGTGAAGAGCGATACATGCGGACTAAACCAGGACTGATCCCAGGACTGAACCAGGAAGACTAAACCAGGACTGAACTAGGGCTAAAATAGGACAAAAATAGAAATGAACCAGGACTGAGTGTCGGAATGGGCCCGGAGGTGCGCCCACGTAGACTGTCGGGTGACTGCGGGTGAAAGGAGCGGCACAGAGCTCTCCTCTCTCTCACTCAAGTCCAAGATCAGTCCTGGTTTAGTCCTGGTTTAGACCGAGTTTAGTCCTGGTTTAGTCCTGGTTCAGTCCTGGTTTAGTCCTGGTTTAGACCTAGTTTAGTCCTGGTTC